TGTAGGGAATCATAGTCCTCTCCCACCTTCTAACCCCTTGGTTGCACCTCAAACCCAACTACAACCGCAAGTTTGTGCTCTTCAGATGATGGAAGACTCAACATCCGAAGTAGCTGTACCTATAACTGACCAGGCGGTTTCTGCTTTAGATGTGATTGCAGCGGAGGTACCGACTGTAGCTCAATTAGAGGAGACTCTCACTACAGACTCAGAGCCTTTTAGCCACCCTTCTCCATCCATTGATGTAGCTCGAAACTCAGATTCCCAACCTACTCATTCTGAATCGGAATTTCAGCCGGTCAAGACGAGAGGTCGAGGTCGAGGAAAGGGTCGCGGTCGCGGTCGCAAGACCGCTGGGTAAAACTAACCTTGGTATATGGATTCCATGATTTTTTGTTGGAATATTAGAGGACTCAATAGTCAGAATAAATGTCAGGCAATCAAGTCTTGGCTATTGGCACACCGACCTTTAGTGGGTGCCTTTTTGGAGAGCCATATTCTCACGCAGAATGAGGCTCGTTTTGTGGCTGTTCTCCCTCCAGGATGGAAGCACTTTTCCAACCACTCTGCTGACCCTTCAGGTAGGATCTGGATTGTATGGAGTCCCGAGGCAGTTGTCACCATCTATCACGTCACAGACCAGGCTATAACTTACAGTATAGAGGTCGAACACATTGGTCTAAAGACTACTGCAACTTTTGTCTATGCAAGGAACCTCTCCTCTGCAAGAATACCTCTATGGAATGATATTCGAAATATTTCAGTTTACCCGCCGATGCTAAACACCCCGTGGATCGTTTTAGGAGACTTTAATCAGATATTGAGAGCTGAAGCTCGTTCTGATTTCCCAGCTTACCAGCCGCGCTCTCAGGTAATGTCGGAATTTGCCATCTGTCTTGAGGACTCGGGTCTTTTGATATTTGTGGCAAGGGTAACAGGTTCACTTGGTGGAATAATCAGGTGGCAAATCCGGTCTCCATTAAGTTGGATCGGGCTGTCATTAATGAGCATTGGTTGGCCAGATTTCCCGGGGCATATGCGGAATTTCTTGCTCCAGGAGTCTCAGACCATTCTCCTTGCTTGGTTAATCTTTCGAGCCTTCAGTTAAAGGTTAAGCGGCCCTTTAAATACTTTGATCACCTGTCAACTCACCCGTCATTTGGCCAGATTGTAGCAGAGAATTGGGCATTCGAAGAAGTTATGGGCACTGTGCAATTCAAGTTCTGTCGGAGCCTGAAACTCCTTAAGAATCCGCTGAGACGGTTAAATAAACGGGCATTTAATCAACTGTCACAGAAAGTGAAGGATGAATCGGACAAGTTAGAGACCATTCAATCAGCATTGCTCAACTCCCCAACGCCGGGTCTAGCTGCCCAAGAGCACGCAATAAGGAAGAATTGGTTGCGGCTTTTACAAGCGGATGAGCGTTTTTTCAAGCAAAAGGCCAAAATAAATTGGCTGAAACTAGGGGACAGAAATAACTCTTATTTCCATAACTCAGACAATCCGAGGAGAGCCCGAAATCAGATCCATTTCTTCTAAGATGAGTTTGGCAATAAGATCACTGATCCTTCAGCCATCAAAGACTATGCACTGGGTTTCTACAACCGGTTACTTGGCCAATTAGATCCGAACGTCTCACGTGCCCCCCATTCTTGGCTTGATAGTTTGTTCCCAACGGCTTGCCCTCACGAGATCCAAGCTTCTTTAATTGGTGAGGTTACCTCGGAGGAAATTAAGCATGTTTTCCACTCAATGGCGAGGAACAAAGCCCCTAGCCCAGATGGATTTCTAAAAGAGTTCTTTACCTCGGCATGAGATACGGTGGGGGAGCATCTCATTGAAGGAGTTAAGGAATTCTTCCGCACGAGCAAACTCCTTAGGGAACTCAATGCCACTATAATCACGTTGGTGCCGAAGATTCCCGAGGCTGCTCAGCTTGGGGATTTCCGTCCAATCAGTTGTTGTAATTTCCTCTACAAGCTTATTTCTAAAATACTTGCTAATCGCCTTAAGCTTGTACTTCCTTGGGTGATATCAGGGAATCAAGTGGCTTTCCAACGAGGGAGGAACATGATGGACCACATCATGCTTGCTTCTGAGTTGATTCAGGACTATCATAAAGCTTGTGCGGAGCCAAGTGCAATGTTTAAAATGGATATTAAGAAGGCGTTTGATACTATCTCTTGGGACTTCATCTTAGACATTCTCAAAGGCTTAGCACTTCCCCCTGTATTTATTGGTTGGATTCGAGCTTGTATCTCCTCCCCTTCATTCTCGGTGGCCATTAATGGTGAATTGGCAGGGTTTTTTCCGGGAAAAAGAGGGCTCCGACAAGGTGACCCGATCTCCCCCTATTTGTTCATCCTTTCTATGGAAGCGTTATCGAGATCTCTTGACAAGGCGATGCAACTCGGATCCCTTGCCCATCACCCAAGGTGCGGATCCCCCTTAATCTCTCATCTTGTCTTTGCTGATGACCTCATGGTGTTTGTGAAAGGAGAGTTGGCCTCTATTGTTGAAGTTAAGCGGTTGCTATCTGAATTTGGGTGTTACTCGGGTTTGACGCTTAACCCCGAAAAGTCGGAGCTATTCTTGGGGGGAATGACCCAGATGGATACAATGGCTATCAGCTCCAATGTGGGCTTTCGCCTTGGAAGCTTGCCCGTTCGATACTTGGGGGTTCCTATCAGGCCTTGGAAGCTTCGGCGGCTGAACTACAATCCTTTGCTTGAGAGAGTTAAGAACAAACTCACTGCCTGGACAACTAAATATCTTTCGTATGGAGCAAGATTATTGCTGATTTCCACAGTCGTTTATGGAATGGTGAACTCATGGAGCCGTATTTTCTTAATCTCAAAATTTCTTCTTAAGGAAATTGATAAGTTATGCTCGAAATTTCTTTGGCAAAACTCGATTGATGGCAGGAATTCCGCTCGTGTTGCATGGTCACAGGTTTGCCAGCCAAAAATTGAGGGTGGGTTGGGCTTACGTCGCCTAGAAGACTTCAGCACGATCTTCCGATTAAAGAGTATATGGCTAATCTTCAAGGAGGCATGATCTCTATGGGTAGCTTGACTAAAAGAAAATATTTGCAGGAAGAAAGGGTTTTGGGGCGTTACTCCTTCGCCGAGGCAGTCCTCTCACCTCCGTAAACTACTTGGGTTCAGATCGGAGGCCAAAAAGTTCATCAAATGTACGTTGGGGAATGGGTTGGATGCTGATTTTTGGCATGATAATTGGACTGGATTGGGACCTTTAATTGAAGTCACGGGTGTTAATGGGCCAAGGTTACTAAAGATTCCTCTATATGCGAAAGTAAAGGTTGGGTTAAGGACGGAGATTGGTACTTCCCGAGGGCCCGATCAGCGGGTATTCAGGCCGTCTTAACCAGGATCAGCTCTATCTCTCCTCCGTCGGACAGAGCGGGGCCGAATATGTTTGAGTGGTTGTTTGCGACAGACTCCTATAGTAGAGAGTTCACATCAAAATCCACTTGGCTACTGATTTGGAACAGTTCTCCGCCAGTGCCATGGTATAAATTGGTTTGGGCAAAGCTAACGACTCCGAGACTTAGCTTTTCCTTATGGCAGGCTCTCTTACAACGGCTCACAACTATGGATCGACTATCTAGTTGGGGGATTGATGTGCAAACTACTGGTCCTCCATGCCAAATGGAAAATGAATCGCATTCTCATTTATTTTTTCAGTGCGACTTTAGCATGCAACTGTGGGATTTTTTCTCATCTCTATGCTATCCTTCACCTCCTACTTCCTTGGAAGGTTGTGCTCGTTGGCTGGAAGGACAGTCCGAAGGTGGTGCTCGACGGGAGCTGGCGGAATTGGTCATTCAGGTGACAACGTATATTATTTGGCGTGAGAGAAATTCGCGGGTTTTCAAACAGGAAGCGAACTCCATTGCGAAGCTACGGGTGGTGCTTGACACACTCGTACGTGACACGGTCCTATCAAGGGGGCATTCTACGATTTCCACAACTTCAACACTTGAAGACTTGTGGCTAGCTATTACATCTTCGATCCGGATTCATCTGAGGGTTTAAATTTGGTCTTAAAATTTCTTTTTGTCATATCTCTTTTGTTGGAATCTTATACCTTTTGGGTTAGTTACGACAACTTGTCGGGTTGTAAAAAAACAATTTTTTGAGACATCAATATTTACCGTTATAAAAAAAATCAAAATAATACATCAATAACACAAAATCCAACATCCAAAATACAGCATAAGTTCAACAGCAGCCAAACATATATCCAAAAACATCAAAAAACATAAAATTCACAAGTTCAACAAAGTCCAAAACATAAAATTCATATGTTCAACGACATCCAAACATATCTAAAATGCATCATAATTCAGGTTCCGGTTCAGCTTCAGGAGCCAGAGAAGCCTCGACAGTGTTTGGTTGAGACAACATAACGTTGTCCTCTGTGTTTGAATTGTCTGCCAAAAAAGACATAATCTGCACACAAAAAAACACAAACAACAGCAAAAACTATAAATCTGTAAGTTTTTTGTAAGTTTTTGTAAGTTGTTGAGTCATGTAGTGATTCCATCATCATGGAAATTGGTTACCTTTTGGTTGTTTTTAACTACTGGGGGTCTGTAAAACACATTTTTGGTAGATAATACGAAGCACATTCTCAAAAAAAAAAAAACTATAAATCTGTAATAAAAAATCATAAACCGAGAAAACGAAGAAGAAATCATAAATCATAAACCATAACGTTAACCTAATTAATCGATTTATAATCCTGGAATTCTCAGATTACCCATTTTTGCTTATTTACCAGGAAAACGAAGAAGAAATCATAAACCAAATAAGCAAATAACATTATCATCAAATGGGGAAGAAAAAGAGCTGTGCAATTTGACGATACAGGAGAGAACTCACACTGGGAGTGTCCTTGATGCTGAGATGCGGGAGAGAAACCGGAGACCGAGCAGAGCCGAACGGAGAAGCGAAAGACGGAGAGAGACCGAGAGGCGAGAGCTGTTCTGAAGAGAAGCGAACGGTAGCGGAGACAGAGCCAAACGACGGCGGAGACAGAGCCGAACAATGGTGAAGAAACGACAGAGCACGGGAGCAGAGACGAGTCGACAGACAGAGCGAAACCGGAGATCGAGCAGAGCCGAACGGAAGCCGAACGGAGCACCGTAGATCGAAACCGGAGATCGAGCAGAGGAGCACGAAAGCGAAAGACGGAGAGAGACCGAGAGACGAGAGAGCTGTTCGAACGACGGCGGAGACAGAGCTGAACGGAGCACCGGAGAGAGCCGAGCCGACCGACGGAGCGAAAGACGGCGAGAGACCGAGAGCGAGAGAGCTGGTTCTGAAGACTGAAGAGGAGAGTTGTTTTGAAGACTGAAGAGGAGGCAGGCCATTTCGTGAGAGAGAGTTACTGAGTTAGGGTAAATTAGGGTTAGGGATATTCTTTGTAAATATATTAAATATTAAGAGTATTTTTGTAATTTTAATTTTTATCGGGTACCCGTGAGATAACCCGTCACAAAATTTTCGAACTCGAACCCGAACCCGAGACTCGGGTTTTTCGTCTCACGGAACTCGGTCTCTGTCTCGTTGTCTCGCGAGTAATGAATCTCGGGTACCCGTGAGACAGGGTATCCAAAAACCCGCGGGTCTCGGGTAAAAATGCCCAGCTCTAGTGAGTAGTGGAGAATAAATTCTCTTGAAACGTTTTAATTTTTTTTTACTTCCAATATAATTGAAAATTATAATAATGAATGTATTACAAACAAAATTGAATTTTCTATTTACTTATAAACAATCGTTACCTTTTCCTATTTTAAAACAACTTATCTAATTAATATAAACTAACATATTTAATATATCAAAAAGATGATTTTCAAAATTAGAACAAAAATTAACGTATTTATATATAAAAAAAGATGGCTTTATACATATTTGTAAATCATATATTTTTAATTTACATTATATATACAGGTGTGAATTTTAGAAATTTATAAATATTTGTTTTAATTTTATTAAATCATCTCATTGATATATTAAATATTTTTATCAATTCCACATAAAATCAATTAGAAGGCTTTTAAATTTCTAATTAATTACAATATGTCTTGTTATCGTTAAATTCTTAATACTCCTCATTTATTTCCTAATAAAATTTTCATAATTGTCAATTTCTAAACTGAAAACGTATAGATAAAAACTCAAGAGGCAAAACTAAAATTTTAATGCTCCTCACTTAATTTTCTAATAAATTATTTATAATTATCTATTTAAACTAAAAATTGATAAATATGATTTTCTCTCTATATTAGTTTATAAATCAATCAAAATTTTAAAAATTGGCATGTAGGATACTTAGGTGGCTTCACCATAATCCTTTAAATATCTTTATTAATATATATCGATTTTTCATACCGTAACCTCTAACAACGTTAAATTTACCCTACTCCTTTTTCATTACGTTACTTTTGAATTATGAAGATGCAATTACCTCAACTCTTTTTATTATTTACTAGTTGAAGACCGCGACATGTCCGGATTATTATTTGTATATTTTAATTATTTTTATGATTTTTATTGATATAAAATTTGATCAATTAAATAAATTATTTATTTAATATAGGAAACCACATAATAATATTAAATTATTGTAAAATTATTAAAACATCATTATTTAGTAAATATATGTGTAGCTTTGTCTACATAATTTGATGTTAATAAGCAGTTTGTGATAAAAATATTTTTTTGACATTTCAATTTCATATTCTATGATGGTATTTTTCAAATATAAATCTTGTATTATATATACTATTTCATAATTTTAATACGTAAGATATTCATAATATATGGAAATTATGATAATGAGTTTGTGAATATATATTAAACATTTGTTATTTATTATATTTGTATAAAATTTAGTTGATATAAATGGAATAAAAATTGTGATAGATAACTTGTTTGATTGTGAAAAACGAATGAATCAAGTATATTTAACTAAATATATTCATATTTCAAACCTCTAATTAAAGATAAATTCTTGATTAGATGATGGGAGGCAGATATCTTATTACATATATATATATATAATACACACATATATATATATATTATATATATATATATATATATATATATATATATATATTCATACACATAAACATATATAATTTTTTCAAACACATATCCGAAACTATATATTATGTACATAGACTGATATATATACATGTAGATATTTTTCGATTTAAAAGATTCTAACTTAAATTTGAATTTTATTACAAATAAAAAAAATATTTTTTTGTTTATAATTTTTTTATAAAATTTATCAAATTTTAATGTGAAAATAGAAAATACCCATAAAATATGTATTTTCTTTTAAAATGACTTTAAAAGATTTGAATTTTTTTCCCTCAATAAAAATATTCTTTGAATTCATCACTGTATAAACATATTTTTATTTTTAATTTTAAAATTTTATAGGACAATATTGGCGGTATATATATACATACACATATATACATGCTTACACACACATGTATACATACACATGTATATACATACGTACTTACATACATAATATATACATATATACATATATTTTGAAATCACTCCTAAAAAATATACCCCAATCGTTTTTTGGTATTATAACCAAAACATATTACATGGATACCTGCAACACGTGCCAAAGATACACTTATATTAAAACCAAACTTCATCTCCTTCAAATCTCTAATACATAAGGGTCATCATCAATATAAATGTTCAATACCCTCGAGTAATTGGATCGTGACTACTGGCTTGCCGAAAGTGATAGTGTGACACCCGAAATCCGTCTCCCGCAATACGAGTTGCGTTGTGACATCCGAAACCCGTCTCCCGCAATACGAGTTGCGTCACACGGACAACTAAAATAAAAACTCAATTTCCAAAAATCCACGGAAATTTAAAACTTTTCTTTTCAGAGTTAGCGGAAGAAAAACATTCATACATACATATATGATACATTATTCCGTAGGTAATTATACATAACAAGTGGTAGCGAAATCATTATTACAAACCGTGAAAGTCTACCACCGATATAATATAAAATCGTTTTCCCAAAAGCATAAGCGTGTCATAAATATGTAATTATACATGATCAGTCGACAGGTCACCCAAGTCTCCGATGTCCGCTCTGCGACTACTGTTACTCTGTTGGCGTTTTGGAGATCCCTAATCATGCGTTCATAACGGTTTCTATGGTTCCAATTTGGGTTTCACGCAGCGGAATAGATTAAACGAAACCCAATCAACAGATCTTACATATAATGATAAAGGTATCGATATACCAACCTGTTTCGATACAAGGACCTGTCACAAACGCTGAAATCAAACGCTCTCTACAGCTAGTCTACACTCACGGGCTTGCGTATGCTAGAACACGATCTGGAGGTCGGGAACAAAAACCGAGATAATCCCGGGAGAGAGACAGAGGATGGCCGAAAATTGAGAGAGAGAGAATTCGAAATTCACTTCTTATTTTCTTAACCCTAAATTATGTTTCCTAAACATAATTATAAAGTGATTAGGATTTCATTAAATCCATTGGGCCTTAATGAACTTTCTCTTAACATTTAAGAGATATTAGGCCCATTAGCCTTATTAATAAACATATGGGCCAATTGGTCCACCTAAACCCATCTAATGGATTTCTAATTAGTTTAACAAACCGATCGTGACCAGAGCACCATATCCATCAATCTCCCACTTGCTCTACTCATGATTGAGTTTTGGTCTATCACAATAGACTTTCCCAAGCACGCTCCAGAAAATAGTAACAGCCCTGCGTGTGTGACCCTGTAGGCCCGTCCAACGCAGACATAGTTCTGAAACTATTTCGGACTAATAATCATAGGTGGTCTATAGCAAGACACGATGACTCCTTTGTCAGACTAGGTTAGTGTGATCTAACGAGCCAAGTAACATTCAACACTTGTGTCCTTTTTGTCACATGATATCATAAGTCAAAATAGAGACATGGAACAAGTCATCTCGTCACATTTTGACTTCTTTCTCGT